AAAATGAAGAAGAATCAAAAATGCAAGAAAACAAAAAACGAAGAAACAAAATGCAAGCAAGAATGAAAAAAATGAAAGAGACAAAAGAAAACAGAGAAAAATGAAAGAGACAAAAGAAAACAGACAAAAATGACTCGAATAGCCCCAAGTAGGATGCGCCCTAGCACTATGCACAAGGGCGAAGCTGGCCTGGTGGGTAGCAGTGTTGCGCGTGGTCTAGCAGACCCGGGATGTAATCCAGGTTTCTCCAATTTTTCTTCTTCCTTTTCTTTTAAACGTACACGAACGGGCCAGCCCACTGGCTACAGCGTGGGAGATTCGCTTCAGTAAGGCGGAGCTAGACTTTTCGTAAAGCGAGAAATAGCTCGCGCGCGGAGGATTAGCTGCCCACCCTTGTTGAAGCTAATAAGCAGTCTTAATCATTTGGCCAATATATGAATTTGATCACTACTCTCTTTTTTTTTGTACAAAGTTCTTTTTTATCAAAGGCCTGATCACTAATACGTACAACAAATTAGTTGCTGAAAGAAACTGAAATCTCTCCGTGCCATATTGAATGTAATAACTCTTATATTATAGAGCAGAGGGAGTATTTTAGAAATGGCTAATAAATCCTGGGCTCTATGGAGCTCGAATTTTGGAAGAATAAAAAAACTTCCAAGTAAAAAAATATCAGAAAAGGATGTATACTAAATATTTTTAAAGTCACATGGTGAACTACTGTTTTCATCTGATATATAAAAAACAGGAAATCATGTATTTCTAGTGCACACACTGTTCACTATCAAAGTTCATTATTTTTGTTTTTTAGCTTAAGTAAAATATATTTCAGTTTCAGCATGAAAATTTACAGTAATGCATTATAGATCCCTACATATGTGTGTATTTGGTTTTGCAATTTTAGTTTTGAAATATGATTTTTATTTTATATTTCAAAATTCCGCGCTCCTGGATCCCAAGAGCAATAAAAAATCCTCACTCAAGAGTATTCGTTATCCTCCACTATTTATATAAGCCAGTGCGGTGTTTTCCACTTGAAGAATTTTGTACTCCATCATATCGGCATTTTTTATTTTGAAAAATAAATGCGACAAGGTTTATTTTTTGCCTTAAATACAAGATGGTACATTTTGCAAAAAATAAAATAAAAATAAGGTATATGTGAAGCTGGCCAGGCCCAAGAAGCAAAACCGCGATGGTTCACGAGGAGTGGGAGGAAGAAATCGTCAGAGAGTAATGAGGGGAGAAGAATTAGTGAGGAAGAAGCAAAGTGAGGGAGAGAGGAGGTGGGAGGGAAAAGTGAATGAAGACTTGATGTGGGAGGGGGAGGGGAGGAAAAGGTGGTGGGTGCTGCGGCTTAGCAGCAACGCGTGTTGGGAAAACGCGCTGCTGCTAAAAATGTAGTAGTAGCGTGTTTCTGCAAGACGCGATGCTGCTAAGTGGGGCCCGCCATGTGTCATGGTGCAAAAATAGTTATAGCGTGTTCCATAAAAAGCGCGCTACTACTACTTAGGCTGTCGGCTAAGCTATGGTCGTAATATCCGTAGCGTGTTTTCCTTGGACGCACTACTGCTAAGGTGGTATCAGTAGCGCACATTATTGAAACACGCTACTGTTAAGTAGCTGTAGCGCCTCCATTTAACCAGCGCTACTGCTAAGCCTTTACGTATAAGGTTTTTCCTAGTAGTGTGGGCTCCTTCCTCCTTCTTTGATCTTCGTTCCTCCTCTAGTTTGCTCTCAAGTCAAACTAGACGACTGTTCTGGTTCGGCTTTTCGGACATGTCCTGGGTCCTGTGGACTATCAGGAACAAGTTTACTATCGAAAATATTTTTCCGGCCAAACCCGTTGACTGCATGTTCAAATTGATCTTTTTTCTACAACAGTGGAAACCATTGATTAAGGAGCAGGACCCTGGAGCGACTAAAGCCTCAACGGCGTCTTCCTTCCTTCGATCCAATCCTGCCTCTACCAGCTGAGTTAGCCTTTTTTGGTACTGCTGCCCTTGGGGCGTAGGTAGACGGCCTGCGTGCCGTTCCAGGCTATTGTGCCTTGTAACCGTACTTCTTAATATTTGGGCCTTTGGTCGTTTGTCGTGCGCTGGTGTTTGTTACTGAGTCTTATCTATTGGCTTTATTTGTAATGTCGGGCATCAGCCTTTTCTCTACAAAAAAAATAGATTATAGACCATTCACAGCTTCGGTGTTGAAGAAAGCTCATGTTAAACTTTTCATGGATGAGACGAATCACATGGAACTCAGCTATACATGTCATTGTGACGTTAACCAAGACATGGTATGACTTACATCAGATGTGCCACGGCAAATTCCTCGTCAGTTAACCAAGACATGTCATTGTGAGTTATAGATCTCCTTGTTCTTTTCTTTCTTTTTTTTTGCGGGGATAGATCTCCTTGTTCAACAATTCCGCCTCCTCAGGGTGCCACTGCAAATTACAAAAATAAATAAATAACTTTTCGTCTGCGCCGGAAACGAAGAGTGACTCTTTCTGGAATGACATGCACCTTCGCTTGTCCGTTTACGCGGAGAGATACTCTCTTCGTCCGCGCGTCGACCAAAGAGTGAGTCTTCATCCGGGATGGAAACGATAAGTTGATCTTTGGCCCGGGCCCGGCACGGACGAAGACTGACTTGGCCATGGGGCGGACGTAGGGTACCTCTTCATTCAGCGCAGGACTGACGGGTCATATAATGAAATTTCTGAAATCCGAAATATAGTTTCGAGATTTCATAAATAAAAAATTAGAGATATGATTTTTAGAGGACACTTGTTACTAGACAGTACACGTGCGTGATGCACAGCCTAAATTGTACAGAAACCAGGGATCACCTATCCAGGTCCTGTCCTTTTGCTGCGCTTTGTTGGGACGCTTTCTGCCTCGGTACAACAAGAAGTTTGAGCTTGACCTATATGATAATGGGCATCCAAAACAAGCTAGCAAGAAATCCCTTTTCTCGATCATCTTGGCAAAGCTGTATAGACAGTTATAAATGACCTCATTTTCAGGCCGAGTACCTATCAATGCAAAAGGAAGTTCAAGGACGAACTGTATAGAAGGAAATCACATCCAGGCCTCAAATTAACAGTGGATACACAACAACTTGTAATCTTTTGTTTTTTTCTGTTACATGTACATACTACCCTTTTCTTTAATTTACAGGAGGATACTCTTTTAGTGTTTATCTTAACAAAAGAATATAAGTGCGCTTTATTGCGGTATCTCACTTTGGTGTAATCAAATATAGGACTGTTGCACATAAGGGGTGACGCTTAATAATTGTCTACCAAAGCCAAGATCAAGATCAATGCCAACAACATGAAATCGAGTGGGGAAATCTTAAATGACAGTGCAGATAAGCCACATAATTTGATGGGGTCTATAGTAACCATACTCTGAACAAGACCTCTAGTCAAAGCCTTCGATGCGGCGAAACTTCAGAAACCTGTGTGATTTTTCCTAGGAGACCTGTGTGCTTTTGTTTAGATAATAGTGTTTGTGAATGGCTACATGGAATGCTTCAAGCAATCCAATATTGCAGCAGCAGGGCCATACGTAGGTCTCCGCACCAGCCTCTGCTCACGGATGGAGAAGTTGCTGCCAGCAAAAACAAGTGTTCAGTTTAGGATGCCCATCACACAAAGAGTAGAGGCTACTAACAACAGGCGCCTCCTTTTTTCCCACTCAAAAAGAAGGCGCCTGTTCTTAGCAGCCTCTACTCTTTGTGTGATGAGCAACCTAAATTGAACAGGAATCAGGGATCTCCTCTCTGAATCCTGCGCTTTTGCCACACTTTGTTGGACGCTTTCTGCCTTGGTTTAGCACAAGGTTGGAACCTGACCTGTCCAAAAGAAGAAAAAAGGTTTGAACATGACAGATATGATAATGGATATCCAACACAAGCTAGCAGTTCCTTTCTCAATTGATATCATGTTTTGCAAGCTTGCAGCTGGTTGTAGACCCACAGGAAAGTGCGGAGAAGGCGCTGAGAAGTCAGGTAGGCCATTAATTATGAGTTATGAAACTGTTCAGCAACTTGCTCTTGTTGCATCAGTTAATGTAGTCCCCATCAAACCTAATCAAAATGCGATAGGCCTCCTTTGGTTTGTAGGAATCTCATAGAATTTCTATAGGATAGGATTTACATAGGAAAATTTCCTTTGAAGCCCTTTGGTTTGTAGGAATGGATTCCTATTCCTATGTAGGATAGGAATCAATCCTTCACATTTTGGAATGAAAAAAACATTAGCTAAGACTCAATGGAAAAATTCCTATCCTATGCATCAAATGATATCTCTTTCTCTATAGGAAGTAAGATACATGTCATCTCACTTCCTATGATTTTCCTATTCCTATAACATTCTTATCCTATGAACCAAAAGAGGCCTTAATGATTTGCATTAAATCGCAAACCATGCTAGCTAGCTAGCCCCATGACACTGGCCCTCCAACTGATTGCAATCTCAGTGTTGATGAATTGCAAAGTACAAGACTAGGATCCCCTGATCATTATGAAATCATTACTCTTGCAACTAAACATAAATAGCAAATCCTTGACAGTTTCACTCTCATAACAGAAGATTCCAAATAAGATGTAGCCCATCCATAAAAAGGATGGACCCAAGATGCATGCACAAGGCTTTGTCTGCCAATATCTCATTGCACAATGATTCCCTGTTTGCATGGGGTCCTCGTGCCACTTATCCACCAGACGTGCCACTATGGCAGTACCCATCATGCACCAAACATTTGGCCCATAGAAATACATAATCCCAATAATATTTCACTGATCCTCTTGCAGCATTGCACAAATAAACCTCGTGGCCTTGTCCCCTTGCCCAATCATCAATGGCACTTGACAGGGATCATATCCCGAGCTATAAATTATTGGTCCAGTAGCCTCAAAACAGCATCGCTTCATCCACAAACAAAGCATTTGCAACTCAACTAGAGTTTCCAACTCCCAGCCAAAAAGAACCAACCATGATCAACGCCAAGAGAATTGCTCAACTAGCAAAGAAGTGGCAGAGGGTAGCAGCTCTCGGGAGGAAGCGGCTTACCACAACGGCAACAACAGAAATCGAATGGTGCTCAACAGCAGTGGCAGGAAAGGGCCACTGTGTCATGTACACCACTGATGGGAGACGGTTCGAGGTGCCATTGGCATACCTTAGCACGGTGGTCTTCAGTGAGCTCCTGCGGATGTCCGAAGAGGTGTTTGGTTTCACGGGCAGCAAAGGAGGGATCAAGCTGCCCTGTGACGCCATGGTGATGGAGTACGCCATGTCCTTGCTCAGGAGAAGGGCCTCTGCTGAGATGGAGGCCGTGTTCCTTAGCTCCATGGTGATGTCATGCTACTATGCAGCTCCACCTGTGGGAGTTAGCCAGCATGTTATTGTCTGTAGTTGCTAATTGTCATTATGTTTTGTACTTTTGTATGTAAAGTAGTTTGATGTAGGAAACAGGAAAGAGGATGTTCTATGCAGAGACTTTTAGTTTTGCAACCGATTATCGGAAAATGTTTACAAACATCGTTCCTCCAGAGTATATATTTCTATGGAGATAAATGACCGGTCGCTTTTAGGACTTGAACAGAAAAGGTTAACATATTCTTCTGCACAGTTACATGGCCTCAGACTCAGAAATTTACAAAGAAATGTTTAGTGGGTAGGAGAAATGTTCATGAATGAGCTTAAAAAACTGCCAAGCAATAATATCCCCCAATTTGATAAATCCGTTCAAATGGGATTTACTAATAAAATGCTCCTCCCCTCCCCTCCCCTGGCGTCGCCTCCCCCTGGGCGACGCCAGGGGTCCCTCAACCCTAGCACCGCAGGCCTCCCCCTCCCCCTCCTTCTGCCGCCGGCGTGGGCCGCGGTGGCGGCGGGCCCGGTGCCGAAGGCACCTGGGCGGGTGGATGCAGCGCGATCTCATCTGAGGCGGCAGGGGCGGCCCCTCTTGTGAGATCCGAAGGCGGCGGCTGGGGCGGCGATCCCATGCCGTGCGGCGGTGGCCAGTGCGCCATAAGCCGGCGGAGCGACGGCCCTGTGGACGGCGGCGGTGGCAGCGCCCCATCCGGCGGGGTGGCTGATCTGTGCGGAGATGGTGACAGCGACGACTGCGGATCCAACGCCCCGATCGGATCCGCCGCGGGGTGGCCTTCCGCCGACCGGCGACGCATGGAGGGACCAGTGAGGAGATGAAGGATCTCCGCCGGATTACCGACGACGGTGTTCGTCTTCGTGGCAAGGCTCCGTTCGGTTCCAGCCAGCTGCGAGATCGGGACGACATGACTTCCGGTGAAAATCGCGCCTGACTGCGGTCTTGGCGGACGATGGCGGCGTCTCGGACGTCGTTCCCTTCTCGGGCATCGTCGTTGCAGGTCACGTCAACCTGATCGGGAGGTTCCGGGGGAAACCCTAGATCTGGGTCTACCGGATCGGACGATGGCAACGTTTTTGATGTCGTTCTCCCTCCTGGGGGCATCATTTTGGAGCAAGTGTTGGCTGGAGGGGACAAGAGGAGGAGCGGCATGGCATCTGACACATCGACAACGGCGGGTCTCAGCGGCATGGAGCAGCGGGGTCTTGCAAGTGGGCGTGTGATGATGGACGAGCGCAGGATGGTTGAGTTGTCTGGGGTCGTGGTGGTGTCGATGGCAGCTAGACCGGGCAAGGTTGTTGCAGCAGTACAACACTAAAGATGGATTGGTGGCAGGTGGTTGCGGCGGCCTCATACCCGGCAGGCGTCCTAGTTGAGGAGTGCGCCAGACTGGTGGGTGCCACATACCTAGTAGGCGTCCTGATTGGGACCTCAGGTCTTAGATGATAGGTTTGGCTGCGAGGTCTGTTTGGCATTAGGCCCAGATTTTCAGCACCCCTTCATCAACTGGATAGGAGTAGCGACAGATGTTGCCTAGACGGTGGCTTTAGTCTTACTATTGTATGACTTTGTAAGGTCTTGTGTGAATAATTAATAAAGTGGCCGTATGTATCGCCCAGATGTAGAGGCTGGGGTCATCCTCCTTTTCTTAAAAAAAACTAATATAATGCCCCGTTCCAGTACAAAATTGTGCTTTTCACTAGGATCCTATGAGGAGAGTAGTTGGGACTAAGAAATCATGCAGACCCGTATGAACTGTCTAGCAAGGTGCTAGACCTGCAACAACCAAAGCAATGCTTAACAAAACAACACCTAGCTAGCATTGCAGCTGTAGACCAAATTTCTCAGTAGAGACTCAAGGCAATCGTATCTCTTTTTCAAATATAGCAGGAGAGCTGCCAAGTTCATTACTCAGAGCAGGAATTTACAACAAGATCAGACGGAAGACAAGCAAATGGAACAAAAGAAAGGAGGTTCATATCGTGGTTGGTTCCGGTTGCAAGTTCATCTTTTTGACACTATTATGTAATCGAGGTTTAAGCCCTCTGTTTTTTCTTCTTTCATCAGTGCTTGACAATTTGGCAAACATAAGTGTAGCTTCAAATTCTTCGTTGACTATTTTTCAATTTTTGCAAACATCTTTCAAAATTCATCAACGAAACCAATTGACTGACTAGCAGGCAGACTTCTTTTTTACAAGAAAGCTTGCTAATCTTATCAAGAACATTTAGCGAGTAGCAACGCAAAAGATGCAGATGTGAATAATCACAGGAGGAGTGGCACAAGGGAAATATGCCAAACTGGTGCCCCGCACCCGTGCTCCTCCTAGCCCAGCGTTGCACCCCTCACCAACCCCGCCGCAGGTGAGCTCCCAGGTAGCCCTCCCTCGCCGCCCCCTCTCCCCTGCCATGGCGCCCCCGAGTGGCAGCTCTAGTGACCTCGACCTCGGCTCCGTGGGCCCGCAGCATTGGATGGACTCCGACGGTGACGCCTCGACGCGGTCCTACAGCGACGTGGCCCGGACCCCCTCCCCCTCCCCGTGCACACTCTTGCCGAGCCCGTCCCCCGCTGCGGCCACGCTGCCGGCGACGTGCGGACCGGCCACGGCGCGCCTGCTGCGGTCCCACCTGGGACCCCGTTCCAAGGTCCACCGCGTCCATGACGCCTCGCTGGTGGATGCGGACGGCTTCCAGCTCCCGCGCCGCAGGAATCGACGCCGTGGCGCGCGGCGCGCCGCCGCCCCGAGCTTCCAGCCGCTGGGCCGCCGCAGCCCGTCCCCGGAGGCGACCGCCGGCCTCTGCTTCCGCTGCCTCGACCCGGGACACCCTGTGCGCGACTGCACCAACGACATCCGCTGCCATCGCTGCCTCTCCTCCGGCCATGGCTCGCGTGATTGCAAGAAGTATGGTGTTCTGCGCGCTGCCCTCACTGTCGTGGCTGCCCCCTCCGTGCCGGCCCCGGAGGCGCCGTGCCGCAACTCGCCGACTCCGCCAGTGCCTTCCGCCCCACCCGTCGACCCGATACGCGTCATCCTGTCGAGTTCTGTGGAGATGGAGGAGGCCGAGGTGGTTCTTCGCCGTGGGATGGTCGTCTCTATCACCGGCGATGGACCGGTGGTCGCTCCTGGGGATGTCGAGGAGGTTCTGTACTCCTCCCTCCGCCTGCAGCCCGGCGACTTCACCATCCACGCGTATCACCCCGAGGATTTCCTCGTCATCCTCTCCTCCCGCGAGCTCATGGACCGCCTCGCCGGCGACCACTTCATCAACGGGGCCGGCTTCACCCTGTCGATCCGCCCTTGCAACAAGCTTGCGCACGCCATCGTCGACTCCCTTGACCTCTGCGTCCAGCTGGAGCTCCGCGGCATCCCTGCGCAGGCTTGGCACCTGTCCACGGCGGAACACCTCCTCGGCAGCAGCTGCTGGATCGAGCGGCTCCACCCGAGCACGCGCTCCCACGCTGATCTTGCCACCTTTCGGTTGACGGCGCGCACCCGTGACCCGGCCTCGATCCGCCGGGCGGCCACCCTCGAGATCGTGGAGCCTGTTCCTACCCGCGACCATGGCCCGCCCACCATCCGCACCCTCGTCTACCCCGTGTCTATCTCGATCGTCAACACTCCGGCCGGCCAAGTGGCTGCGCCCCCTGCCCGCCGCGGCCGCGGCCCGAGCGACGACGCACCGGGTGAGCACGATGAGGATGCTGGACGTGGGCACGACGTGTGCCGCAGCCGCGGCCGCAGCCGCGGCCGCCGCCGCGGCCGCAAGCGACGACGGACCTCCGGCAACCACAGTGGCCACGCCGATGGCATGGCCGTTGACTCCACTGGCTGGCGCGCCGCCGCCCCCCGACGCTGGGCTGATGGCGTCGCCGTTGATGATGGTGGGCCGCCTACCGTCGCCGTACGGTTGATGCGGCACCGTCGTCGAGGCGCCCTGCAGGCCGTACCATGGGCCCCTGGACTTCTGCCAACGAGCAAAGCCGCCCTCGTCACTTTTCAAAAAGGGGAAAGCGGGGCGGAAAGCGCCGGAAGGAGACAGGGA